AAGACAACATTTACAATCCAATTATGAAACATTTGTTTTTTGTAGAATGCATTTTGGACTAAGATTTGCACATGCAACATTTCAAAGATATATGATATCAATATTTAGTAATTTGATTAAACCATGGAATGAAAGTATTTATGGATGATTTCTCTGTATCCGGGACTTCATTTGAATTATGCTTAAATAATTTAAAAAAAGTTTTAGAATTATGTGGAAAAATCAACCTAGTACTAAATTGAAAAAAATGTCAATTTATGATTGCAGGAGGAATTGTACTTGGGCATAAAATTTTTTAAAATGACATGGAAGTAGATCCTACAAAAGTTCAAGTTATTGAAAAATTACCATCACCAACTACGGTCAAAGGGGTAAGAAGTTTTTTGGGACACGTTGGCTTCTACAGACGTTATATAAAGAATTTTCAAAAATAACTAAGCTATTATGCCAACTTTTAGGAAAAGATACGAAATTTGAAAATAAAAGCAATTGAATTATTGAAAGAAAAATCAATCACTGCACCTATAATAGTACCACTTGATTAGGAAAGATCATTTGAATTAATGTGCGGTGCTAGTGATTATGCTATTGGAGTTATTTTAGGACAAATGTACAACAAAGTTTTTAAAGCAATATATTATGTTAGTAAAACTCTAAATGATGCTCAAATTAACTACACTACTACTGAAAGAGAGTTATTAGTTATTTTCTATGCCTTTGATAACTTTAGACCTTACTTAATTGGATCTAAATGTATAATGGATACAAATCATTCTGCTACTAAATAATTAATGCAAAAGAAGGATGCTAAACCAATGTTAATTAGAGGGATACTTCTACTGCAAGAGTTTAATTTTTCTGTAGTTGATAGAAAGGGAAATGACAATCACATAGATGATCATTTGTCAAGACTAGAAAAAGAAAAATTAACAAATTTTGCAAATGAAATTTTAGAAAATTTCACTGATGAACAATTATATAGTATTGATGAAATAGATATAATGTGGTATGTCAATATAGTAAATTATATTATAAGTGATATTCTACCACTAGATATTAAGAATAAACAATTAAGGAAATTTATATATGATTCAAATTTCTATTTTTTGGAAGACTCATATTTATATAAACAATATAAAGATCTAATTATTAGAAGGTGTGTGCCTTATGAAGAAACTCAACAAATAATTGAGAGATGTCATGATTTTGAATTTGGAGGACATTTGGAACATAAAGAACTGCTTATAAAATTTTGCAAGCTGGATTTTATTGGTCTGCTCTATTTAGAGATGTTAATGAATATGTTGAAATATGTGATCGATGTCAACAAGTAGGAAATATTTCTAGAAGAAACGAAATGCCTCTAAATTACACATTGGAAGTTAAAATTTTTTATGTGTGGGGTTTAGATTTTATGGGACCATTAATGCCTTCATTTGGAAACTTATATATATATTACTTACCATTGATTATATGTCCAAATGGATTGAAGCTATTGTTGTACCTAAATGTGATGCTCGAAGTGTTTCTAAATTTTTAAATAAAAAACATTTTTACAATATATGGAATGTCGAGAGTAATTAACTAATGGAGGATCTCATTTTAGAAATAAGAGAATTGAGATATTCATAATGAAATAAGATATTATGCATAGATTATCTTCTGCTTATCATCCTCAGACTAGCAGTCTAACAGTCTAGCAGAAATATCGAATCATGAAATAAAACAAATTTTTGAAAAAAGCTATAAATCCCTATAAACGGGATTGGTCTGCTAAATTGGATACTACATTATGGGCATACATAACTGTTTATAAGACTCTTATAGAAACGTCCTCATACAGATATATTTAAAACATGACATTTACCAGTAGAATTGGAGCATAAAACATTATGGGCTATTAAGAAATTTAATTTTATACTAAAAGATGCTGGTGAGAAAAGATTATTGCAACTCAATGAACTTGAGGAGATCGGAAATTAAGTATATGATAATGCAAAAATTTGTAAGGAGAAAATGAAAATATGACATGATTAGAAGATTATTAATAAAAAGTTCACAGATCGAGAAAATCATTGTACACATGCATTGAGAAGTTTTGTGCTACACTACCGCTGCAGTTGTAGTATCCGTAGTAGAAGAGTTTTATGCTAACTTACATGGAATTACCCAAGGAGTTGTCTTCGTTTGAGGTAAGGATGTTCCATTTACTCTGGCTCGGATTAATGATTTGTATTTGATAGAAAATGTTCAAATCTGTCTTTATACAAATTTTATCCCGACGAAAGATATGATGCAAGAAGTATATAATTTTCTGACGGATGAACATGATAATTGGGAAATCAGAGATGAGGGATACGCTAGTTTCTCTGCTTCGCTCTTAATCCAATTTTAAAATAATGGCATTTCTTCATATCTGCAAAACTACTACCCACCATGAAGATTGGTAGAGTTACAAAAGAAAATGTTATTTTAAACTGTTGCATTCAATTGGAAAAACCCATTGATATAGGGTTGATTATTTTCAAATCTGTTATGAGTATTATTATGAATGGGCCAATATATGGACTTGGATTTCCTTCTACAATTTTCCTACTTTGCAATCAATCTCAAGTTCCATATGAAAGTCAGGAAAAAGTTTTACTACCTTGGGAGCCTATGATTCCTATTGATGTCAATTATGGATATTATATAGGGAATGGAAAATGGAAATGAAGCATTAGATTGTATTTTGGATCATTCATCACATGCTTCAACACCATTGCTGTCATAGCACAAAACTATACACATAATCAATGTTCTAAAGCAAAGTACAGTAAATTAAATCCACACAATTACATTAAAGCAAAAGTATTTTAAAATAGTAGAGAGTCGTAGAGAGTCTAATTTCTTCAATTTCTTCAATTAATCTGTCTCTTCTTCAATGTTTTCTTCTTCTCTAATATCTCCCATAGACTGGTAATGGACATATAAATTGTAGAATGGTCGGTACGGGAACTGATCAGTCAAATTTTCATCGTTCCATCATTTTTTCTTAAACATTTGTACCTGACAGACCTTTTTGGAAGTCAACAATTACAAGAATTTGATGACGCTACTAGAAGAATTAAATTCCAGCAACGATGCCAAAAACTTGACTGCGACTTTATATATATATGTTTGATTTAATAAAGATGTACAAATATAATATTCAATAATGTTAAAGTCAAATTTGTCACCGCAAGTATATGTATCGCTCAAGTAATATAAGGCTCTAATGGAGTCCTAGATATCGATCCCATAGGGAGAAATAGAATACTACGGATTAAGATTTAATAAAAAGTAATACTTCAACTACAACAACGTTCAAGTTGCTTATCTGTCACTAATAGACAATTGAAATAAGTAGATAATTTGGATAGTAACTAATTATAGAAAATAACGTTTAATTGTGATATTTAATATATAAGAAAGCATCATTCTCCTTGCCAAGAAATTATAATGAATGGATAAAATGAATTAGTTCAATTTATATTGTGTCAAATATGAGCATACATATTCCTTACCCTTTGGTCCAGGTATAAAGAAGATTGACTAATCCTATGTTTGGTTACTGATTCTGCGGCTAGGCTGGGAGGATACCGGCTCTCACTTCGGAGCTCCCACGTTCCCCTCACCTGAGGGCTAACATCTACACACCAGCACCCAAACGATAGGACCGAATTAGGGATTTTAGTCTGTCACTCTAAAATCTCTAATTCTACGCCCGATAGTAATATTTCCTTATTTATTTGCACCCAACTTCCAAGGGTTTTGACCTCCCTGAATCTTGGATGTAATCTTCACTTTAGTTGTAAAATTCAACATATTTTAACAATTCAATTGGCCAGATTGAAAGTAAATTAAGATCAAAGTGAAAAGATCATCACAATTTCTTAAACATTTTCATGGCTTCACCAATTCAAATCATCATTTCCCAAATCTCGAAACAAGGAGAAAGACAGAGAAAATTTCAATTAAACTTACGCAATTCAACTGACTAAAACCAAAATAAAATTAACCAATTCAAATCACTATTTTAGAGAGAGCTACCCATTTATCTATTTAAACACGCGGCGCTGACTAAAGCCAGGACAGAGGAGTGATGGCGTGGTGGTTGTGTGAGATGGGGTTGTGGAATGCGGCAGTAGCGGGGAAGGGGAGGGTGAGGCGGCGGTTGCGGAAGGCGGCGATGAAGACTTGAAGGATGTCGGAGAAGACGCTGCCTTCGGGGGCGACATGGACGTATAGAACGGTGCCGAGGAAGAAGAGGAGGAGGGAGAGGAGCATTAGGGTTGTGGGAATGGCGAAGCTGAGGGACCAGCTGAGGGAATCTTGGATGTAGACCATGACTGTCATGGAGATGAAGAGACCTGAGGTGGAGGTGAAGTAGTGCCTGTTAGAATTTTTATTACCATATGTTTGACCAAAAACAAAAATGGAATTATAATTTTTCATGTAACAAAATTATTTTCTTTATATATATATATATATATATATTACTCATATGTATTGCAAGAAAAAAAAACTGTTATTGATATATTTTGATTAAATTTTAATTATAACCAGTCTTCGAAATTTAAATTTATTTTGAGTTAAATATAATTTATTTTTCTTTTATTGTACTTAAAAGTGAATTAAAGAATTTACATATATAGCACTTAACTATTAAAATATTTTAATAAAACTTTTATATGGGATTTTATAAAATAATCACTCATGTCATTTTTTTAACCTACCGTACCGATGTAATATTTACGCAACCTAAAAATTAAGATAACCAAACTTTCGAGAAATTGGTAAAAATGAAAAATAAGGGTTGGAGTTTTACTATCAATTTTGTTACTTGAGTGAGGATTTCAAAAATGGATGAAAGAGGGTTGGTGATTTGTAAATAGCAAGTTTTGGGTGGGGTGTATGCAATTGAATTTTCATATATAGCACACAACTATTATGCATTTACTTGTAAGGGTGTAAAAGATTCGGCTCGTTTATATTTCGAGCTCAAAAAAAGTGTGTTTGTGTTTGACTCGTTTTCTTAGCAAGTCGAACACGAGTCGTTCACGAACAAATAGTCGTAAATGAAAATATTTCACTCTATAAAACGCGATGGAGACAAAAGATTCATGTAGCCGATCCCGCTTAACATCTGTTTAGCTTAGCTTATTCCTGTGTTCGGCATTTTCGTAATGTCGTGGAGGTGTTTGGTTAATGCGTTGAGGTCGGCGGTCGGGAAACACGCTTAAGCGTTTATGTTAGGATCTGTTGGAGCGTTCGCCGCTGGGAGAGGCCCGCGTTTAGGCACCACTTATTACTCCTCAGCCCCTCGATCCCGTTTCTTCTGTCGTTGCCCTAGATTTGTGATCAACCTCCCCTGTTCTCGGCCCTCTATATCGTGCACCCCTCCACTCTCCCATTTCTCGTTCGTTAGGTGGTGGATCGAAAGGTACCCCTTCTTTGCGCTCTCTCCTCTCATTTTCGTGGAAATTTTTTGAGAAGTTTGGTGGTGGATCGAAATATTTTCTAAGAAGGGCCGAAGGCACGCGATAGACGCAAAATTGCATCGTGGATATTCTTTGGTGACATGATATATTCTTTCACCAATTCAGTGAACATAGTATATTCTTGAATGAAAATTGGCATGGTAAAGGTCCTTTAGGTTTTACTCTTGATAAAGGTAAAAAAAATCACTTAATTGATAAAATCAAGAAGAATATTCATGTTTCACTGTTTAGGTTTCACTCTTGGGAGATAATATTTCTCTCATTTGGGGGGAGAGTTACTATTTTAAAAAGTGTTCTCATTTCTCTACCTCTCTACAATATACAAATTATGAAGGTTTCTAATAGTGTTATTTAAAGGTTGAAATTTTTGTTTAACAAATTCCTCTGGGATGGTAGTGATAATAACAATATACAATAGAAAAGGTGGGAACAATTGTGTAGATATCTTAATTAGGGAGGTTTGGGACTCATAAGTATTGTTGAGACTATGAAAATTTACTTTATTAAACATCGATATAGATTTCATATGAATATTTCTATTTGGACTACTCTTATGAAGGCTAATTATTATTATATGAATCATCCTTTGGTTATTACAAACTCCAAATATTATTCATTTCATTTGGAGGGAAAAGCTTGATGTTGCTAAATGTGGTGATAGCCTGATTTGTTGGGTTGTTGGCAAAGGAAATTGTTCTTTCTTGCATGAAGATTGCCAGGGTAATGGTGCTTTAGCAATGTGCAATGATGGTCCTCCCAATTTGGTGAACAGGGTATTTGCTTTCACCAATTTAAGTGGGAGTTTTGTGCTCTAGACAAACCTCACACAGAAGAGCCTAGCAAAGTGCTTTAAGGCTTAAGAATTTCTAGCTCAAGAAAGGCTTACACTTACTTCTTTGGAGGATTAAAATTTAAGAGTATGATTTGACTTATCTATAGTTTTATGCCTTTTTTAGGAATATTGCTCACTGATAAAGGAAGCATCCATTTATCATGTTCTGCATGATGTTGTTATATGAAAGTGAAGCTATGTTTAAGTAGCATTTTGATTTTTTACATGGTGGCACGGAGAAGTAGATAATGCCAATTCATCATTTTTTTCTCATATTTACAATAAAATAATAAAAATAATTCACCCTCCCCTCATCGATATCATCCTCAAGCCAGCTCCTCCGCCCTTCCCCACCAGTCTACTTCTTCACCACCTCCATTAACAGACTGCTCAGATAACTCGACTCCGCCAGGCTACAGAAGATCAGAGCCCCCGTCAATGTTTGCATGTGCTCCGGAAACTATCGGTTATAGAACTCGATCTGCCCCACCGCATTAAACGCCTCTGCCACCCCCATAACTAGCAGTTGTGGCGCCAGCCACAAAACTGAAATTGACACCCCTTCCGACGACTCATCCCTCCTCTTCTTCTTCATCTCGGTCGTCACCACTATCAAAAAAATCGATATCAACAACCCCACTCCCTGCCTCTGCAACAGCGTGATCCCGCCGTCGAGCTTCGTGATCCTCCGGGTTACCGGAACGACGACCATGTCGTATATGGGGATGAAGAAAGCTAACCCTAGCATGGTGATCGTCCCCACTGAGCGTGGCAGGATTATGAATTGTTGACCGAGTTGACGGTTCATTTTCATGGACTAGAGGATGGAGAAGGTGCATTGTTGCCCGAGGGCGATGAAGCAGATGATCCCGGAGGTCCAGATGGGTATGATGCAGATTAAACACTTGACTTTTTTTACTTTTTTGAGGTGCAGAGCCACCATGGACTCAGCGGGGAGGCGCCAAAAAAGGGCAGGAGGCGGCTTTGGAGAGGAAGAGGAAGGAGGGTTGGCGGGAGAGAGGTGATGGTGTGGTGGTTTTGTGAGATGGGGTTGTGGAATGCGGCAGTGGCGGGGGAGGAGAGGTGGATGCGGTGATTGTGGAAGGCGGCGAAGAAGACTTGAAGGTTGCTGGAGAAGACGCTACCTTTGAGGGCGACGTGGAAGTATAGCGGGGTGTCGTGGAAGAAGAGGAGGGAGAGGAGCATTAGGGTTGTGGGAATGGCGAAGCCGATGGACCAGCTGAGGGAACCTTCGTCTGAGAGGGGAGACCTCAATCAGATGGTTATGGCAGCTTCGATTGGGTCCAACGAACCTCCAGATGAACTCTTGGGCCTTAGTGAATTGTCTAAGTATAATTTCGATCAAGCTCGATTTTAGTTGTTGGTCTAGAGGCTATTTTAGTGGGGGCTTTTATGGGGAACTAATTCCTCTTGCTCTTGTGATGGTGTGGGTACAATTAATTAGAGTTTGGGGGACTGTGGAGGGATGTTCTATTTCGAGCTGAGATTTTGAACTCAAAATTGAGCTCTCACATTGGGAACGAGAAGGGGAAAATGGTGGGCTTGAGCTAAGAGTACTTGGAGAGTCTCTATAATCAATTTGACAGAGGTTCCCCAAAAAAAATCAATTTCTCTCCTTTAGCCATTGGGAAGATGGTTTAAATAGAAGGGCTTAGGGTTGAGCTCAGGGTTTCAAAGTGCAAAAGGCCAATCAGAGTTGGACAGCTTAGATGATTTCAGTTGGGTTTGATTTAAGTGTGGTGGCTCTCGATTTTGGGGTTTTACGACCACTAGGACAGCCGACAGGGCCAGGTGTGATGGTCAGAGAGGTCAGGGAAGTTAGGTGAGAGTTTATGATGATTGACTCTTAATGATATGGCATGATGATAAAGATATTTGTGTTTTGGCCAAAAAATGAGATGAAAAACCTTAATTTAGGCGACCATTGGTCCCCAGCTCACCTAGGCTGGTATATGTGGGTTTAGCCTGGTCCATGGGGTGCACTTGATGGCTGTGGGGGTCCTTGGTTGGCCAATATGGCTTAGTTAGGTCAATTTGGTGAAGGGGTGCATTTGGGTCAAGTGGCTTAAAGTTAGGTTTGGGTTGGGCTAGCCATGCTATTAAGCTCAATTGGTTGCTTAATTTGGTGTAAATGATTGTCAAAGAGAGTTTGAAAAATAATTGGGGACGTTTTGAGTTGATTTGGAAGTTCAATTTGATGGATTTTAGTCATTTAGTCAATTTGGGGGTATTGGGTTGGACTTGGGTTTAGGTTAGGCTAAGGTTGGGCTAAGTCCACATTGATGGTTCAAAATGTTCTATTGGAATGTCATAAAGAGTTTTCAACATAAATAAGGTGTCAATTTTGAGGTTAGGGCATTCAATTTTGTGGAATTTGGGTATGTGGCTAAATTGGGGCAAATTTGGGGATTTTGAATTTGGGTTGGAATTGAGTAGAATTGAGGCTTGACCAAGGCCAATTGAGGGTTCAATTTGCTGTGTAGGATTGTAATGAAGAGTTTGGGATCCAAATTGGGGTAATTGAGTGGGTCATAAGGTTCAATTGGGTGAGATTAGGTCATGTGACAAAATTGGGGCGTTTGGTTTGAATTAAAGTTGTGCTCAAAGTATGGGTCAATTTGGCATGGATTTTGTTTAAAATGACCTTAAGAATGGTGAATTGGAGTTTAGAATTGAAATTGAGGAAAATTTGAGTGAAAATTTAAGGTGAATTTGGTGGAATTGGGCCTTTAGGGGCAATTTGGGATTTTTTTTTCCAAAATGGTTAAATTGGTTAAATTGGGGTGAGTGAAATAGTCCAAATTGGTTTTGGGGACATTTTGAAGGATTTTGAAATTTTTTGAATTTTTGGACTACGAGGGTATTTCGGTAATTTTGGAAAGTTTGGGTTGTCTTAGGACTTAGGTGGGTTTAAGGGGTTTGAGATGATTTTTGAATAATTTTGGGTATTTTGGGAATTTTGGTGGATTTAGGGTTTCAAGTGTATTTTGGTAAATTGGGTAGATTTGGGGGGCAAAATGCTAGGTTGGGGGACTTTAGGTGAAATTGGGGTGTCAACTTCCTTATTCAAGCTATGGACCAATGAAATCTTTATTTTGGGTCCTACATGTATTTGTCGTAGGTAAGCCCTAGCCTAGGGCTAAGGGCCTAGGAGTCTTCCAAAGGGTCAGGGGCCAAAGTTGAACAAAGTTAGGATTAAGGTTGTGAGTGAAAGTGGGTGAAAGTGAGTGAGAGAACTATCTCCAGACCAACACCAGGGTTAACTCTGAGGCCAAGCTGTCCTAAGGGGACTCTCCTTGAGCTCCCCTATAGTGGCCTGACCTACTAAGTGCTAGAGGTTAGGACCATTATATGAAACTTCAAGTTGAGTAAAGAAGAGTTTGGAATTTTTATTGGTGGGGGTTCCATACCAGTTATCTAGGAGTAGTCAACAATAAAGTCCTATGATTAGACTCTAGGCTACTAAGGAGGAAGAAATACATCTCAACCAAAAGTGAGGTCAACAAAAAAGTTGGATAAATAATTTTCAAAAGTTATGGAAATTTTTAAGAAGCTTACAATTAATATTTCATTTGCTGAAACCTTAGAACAAATGTCAAGATATGTGAAATTTATGAAAGATATTCTTAACAGAAAAAAGAAGTTCAAAGATAACAAGAGTGTTGCACTTAGTAAGGAGTGCAATGCTATAGTTCAGAAAAAAACTTCATGAAAAACTTAAAGATCCTGGTAGCTTCATAATTTCATGTACCATAGGAAACATACTTTATAGAAAAACTTTATGTGATTTAGGTGCAAGCATTAACCTTGTGCCATTATCATTATTTAAAAGATTGAGATTAGGAGAAATATCCCCTATTACTGTAACTCTGCAGTTAACATATCTTAAAGGAGTTATATAAGATATCTTAGTGAAAGTGAATCAATTTATTTTTCATATTGATTTCATTGTGCTAAATATGAAAGAAGATAATGAGATGCCTATCATTTTGGGAAGACCTTCCCTAGCTACATGAAGAGCATTGATAGATGTGCAAGAAGAGGAATTAACTATGCGCGTCAATGATCAGACAGTTACGTTTTATATTTCTAAATCAATGAAATACCCTGCAAAAAGGTAAGGATGATAAATGTTATAAAATGGATGTGATAAGATATTTAAGTGAATGTTATTTCAAAACAACTTATGGAGAGAAATCTGAAATGAAAGAGTTGGAACACGAGCCAGAAGAAAAAATAGACTAATTTGAAGACTCTTACAAGGAAGATTTCAATTATGTTCGAGAAATTGTTAACCTCAATTTTGAAGTCTTTCTTCCCTCTCCCCATAGCCTAAACTCTATCTACAGGATTTCCTATTTGACTCTCTTAGAGGAATGGATTGGGACCCACACCACTTAAAAATTTGAGTTATTTCTTCGCTCTTTGAAGTTTTCACATGAACAATTTTAAATTCTCAATATTCGATTGTGTCGATTGAAGAGCCGACATATTGAAACTCAAATTGAGCTCCTATAAAAATTTGAAAGACATAGGTGGACCCCATGACGTGCGATGTTTTTTGACTTGCCATCGCGAACGGTTAATTAGATTTTGGTCGTCACTTATGCGATGACCCGTCAACGATATTTGTTAAACAACTCTGATCGAACCAAAATAATTTCATTCGTCGCGACACACATAAGTGGATGATAATTTAACTCGATCGTCGACGAATTTGTCCGGACGATCCCGTATGACGAAACGGACCGCACGGACGAATGAAATTACCTTGAAAGGAGCTTTATTTCGATGGCGTTTCGTGCGAGTTCAAATCTCATCAAAATCGACAATTTAAAATGAAATAATAATGCTAATTAATAAAAAATGAATAAATCTGTTATAAAAATATATAAAATTTTAAGGTGTTTCGGCCTCGCTCCCATTTTAAACCCTAGGGGGGACCGAAACCTCTTTTCGCAAAAAAAGACCTCCCTCTTTCTTCGGTTCGCAATCCGACCGAACTCCCTCTCCTTTCCCGATTCACGAAGGTTATTCTCCCCGATAGCCTTAAGCAACCTATGCGACTAAGGCTGACAAAAAAACTCATTGTTCGCGAACAATTTATGTTTTATTCGCTAGTGTGTTCGTGTTCGATTCGTTCGATAAGCAAACGAGACGAAAAAAAAAACATTTTTGTCAAATTTTTTTAAACGAACCAAACACGAACAATGATGTGTTCGTTTGTGTTTGAATCGTTATTGTTCGAAATAAAAAAAAATAAAATAAAATAAATAAATAAATAAATAAATAAATAAATAAATAAATAAATAAATAAATTATATATATATATATATATATATATATATATAATTATGATATTTAAAAAAATAATTATATACTCAAAAATTTGTTATATTTTAAAAATTAAATCTCGTAACTTATCATGTATAATAAATTATTAATAATATTATATTTATATACTATCTAGTAATATAAATATTATATATTTATATAATATAAGATATATAATTAATATAATATATTATACTATTTTTTTTATATATTAATATACAAAACAAGACTTTAATTAACCAAGGCGGAAGACCTAAGCCCTAACCCGCGACTGTTCGCCCTTCTTTCTCACGCCGCTCTTTCTCCTCTCGAAACAACGCCTCTTTCTGCTTTTAGCTCTTTCTCCTCTTCTCGTGAAAAGCTTCCTACTGCGAAAACCATCTTTCTTCTCTTCTCAAAATCGCGACTCTCAGTGGGAGCTTAGGTTGATTGGTTGTGTTCTTCTCTAATCTCTACTTCTATCTGTCTTCGATAAAGTGTATTTGTCCTCAGCGAGTCGGCGTTGGATCGACCACTTTCAGTATTCTTGCTTCGGTGCATGGTTGCTCGATATTCTTGCTTTGTTGTTCTTGCTTTGTTGCTTCGATATTCTTGCTTTGTTGCTTGTAAGGCTACTGAGTCGCTTCTTTGAGGATATTTTCTGTAAGAATTCATATTATGTTCAGGTTTGCCTCTTAGCTTAAATTTTGAGAATTTTTTTAGGTTTATTTAATCTTTTTGAGTGAAACCTAGGTTTTGAAGTTTCTAAAATTTTTGTATGAGGCCATGTAGGGCTTTTATGAGTTAGTTTTTGTATTTTTTTTTTTTGCATAAAACGTATGTATATTGTGTCATAAAGGCATAGTTTGGATAAGATCCAATGCTTAGTTGTGTGTATGAACCGGAAATATACTATTATGGATTAGTTGGCTAAGATGGCTTCCTGTAGCGACACACTAATTTATGCTTTTCTTATGGAACATGACATCTTGGATAATGAATATGCCGCAGGTCAAATCTTGTGAATAATACAAAACCCAAATAATGGATTAATAAGAGTTATCTTAATGCGAGGGAGAAGCATCCTCACTTGTCCTTATTGTTCTTTTTTTTGAAAAATATCTCTCACTTGTTTGCATCACCTTCGGCTTTAAGGGAGATTTTCCACTTTAATCAAGTAATGTAATTAGATGGATATGAGGGTGCCTCTGAGTATGAGTTATGTTTTGATTTTTTTGGAGTTTAAGAAGCAAAGAAAAATGTTTAGAGTTCTATTGACCTATCTTTCTTTCACACTTCAAATATCTTACAGTCCAATTTACGTTGTTTTTTGAGAATACTGATAGTTATAATCATATGTGTTATAGTACTTCATTATTGGTAATATGGAAACTTGTTACTAACAAGTTGTTAGTGAATAGATGATATTTATTTGGGATATTTATTTGAGAAGATGTTTGCTCGTAAGAAATGATGCATATATTGACATGAAAGCTAATTTGTGGCATTGCAGAAATGGTTTAGCAGCTATATAATATCTTCTTAGTATATTTACTTATGTGGAACCATACAATGGTTATATTTTCTACATATGGGCAGTTTTGAGCACTGTTTTGGAGACATTAAAAACATCATTTTATGGCTGTTTTGTGCACTGTTTTGTAGAAATTAAAATATCATTTTAGGGCTGTTTTGAACACTATTTTGGAGAAGGGCTGTTTTGTGCACTGCTTTGCAGAAATTAAACATCATTTTAGGGCTGTTTTGAACACTATTTTGGAGACATTAAAAGCATCATTTGGTTGCATTAAATTAAAAACATCATAATGCGACCAAATGAGATTGTTGGCCACTCCCGCAACTGATTTTCCCGCTTTTTTTTTTGAATGCCGGTAAGCCTTCTCCCCCTCTTTTTCGGCTATATATACCCCATTTGGGGATAGATCCGGGGTTGGTGATTTCTTTGAGGAATTTCAGAGTTCTTGCTGTTATTTTCGAGGTTATTCGGGGCTGGTGATTTCTTTGAGGAATTTCTGAGTTATTGCTGTTATTTCGAGGTTATCTCGGGATGGTGATTTTTTTGCTGAATTTCGGAATTCTTGCTGTTATTTTTGAGCTTCTCTGGAGGTCAGATTTTCATATTTCTTATTCTTCTTCCTCTTCCCTTGAGTTTATTTTAGGGTTTTTCATCAAGCATTTCAAGTGAATCATATTTCTATTTTCATTTGTTTCTGTGGCTTGAATATGAAATATTTTATATCATAGGTAAAATTTTGTTACTTGTTCATAAGAGTTATATCTTTTGAAACCAAATTTTCTTAGAGTTCTAAATCTATTCATTGTTTGAAATGTTGTTTGAAATTATAGATTATAATCGTATGCTCGATTCTAATGAAATAAATGGTTATATACTGGCTCAAGTTCTTATAATAAGCTTAATTTTCTTATAATAAGCTTAATTTTTTTAAGCTTAATTTTTTTCCTATAATCTGAAATTTGATATGAGCTAAATGAAATGTAAATTGCCTTTCAAAATATAAAGCCCAACAATGCTTCAGTTTATGGAAAAATTTCGATTCAGTTATTTGGAGTGTACTTTATTTGATGATATTTCCTCAAAGACACTATGCATTTCTTATGAGTTAATAAAGAGAAGCAAGTAGAGTTTACTGAAAGCAGTTAATAGAATATTTGTTTCTTTTGTTATTCTAAAATTTCTCTCTTATGTCTGCTTGCATCTTTATGGATTAAGAAGGAATTTTCTTATGGATGGAGTTGAGAATGACTATAGTATACTAATAATGGTTTGTGGCATCTTTGGCATCTTCTTGTATTGTTTCAATGATTGATTTAAATTGTTACTTAAAATGCTGGATAAGCTAAAATTGATCATGGATTCATATTTCATAGAATTTTCGAAACTATTTTCCTCATGGAATTGGGTTTTTAGTTTCATGATGCTGAAATGACTAAGATGCATGCACTTTATCCGTCATAATTGGTTTTTTTGCTATTATTGCTTGTTGGCGTATTTCCCTTACTCGATGTTATGCTCTAGTGTGGTGTTTGCTTTCATACTTATGTCTTTATTTGAATAATTAGGAGTTAATGATAAAACTTTTGATCATAAGTCGTTGAGTTTATTAGTGCTTTTTTCTGTTTTCTTTTGAAATTATTAGAATATATGTTCTGTTTTAATTATGGCTATGGAAAGGAAGTCCTGTAAAGAGCATGTATATTGAAGTACTTTCTTGACACTGTTAAAAATTGGAAAAGATTTACGAGCAATCAATCATATAGATACTTTGTGAGTAAAGATTGAAGTACTATATATCAGATTTCTTCTTTTTTTTGATTTAAGAGCAATGTATATGTAAGTTTCACTTTTCAATGATTTCAGATTTTTTTTTGGTTTTCTTTTATGGATTGTTGAAAATAGTTAAGTTCTTCCTACTGTAAATTTAAGAAAGTTTTTGGTTCAGTTATATGAGTAGTGTTTTATTCGATAAAAATTTTTTTAGGTGATTCATTTGTGTTATTTGGAAAACTTGTTTGCCTTTAATTTTTTTTAATTCTCTGAAAAGTAAGTTCTCTTCTTCTTTGACCTTCTCGAGGGATTTTCGGTATTGACCATTTGTGATTGAGATTCAATTAAAGATACTATTATAACCATCTGAAACTCACAATAAGTATATTAGTACTAGTATATATATGTGTTTTGCATATAATTATTATATTTCAATATACTTCATATTCAAATTCTCATGTTTATGTACATAGCCTTTCAAGTTTTATTTTAATCTTATGTGAGAAACAATATTAACATTATTTCTTATAGTTTTAAGAAGGTATGTTTATGTATTTTAAATTTTGGAAGTTAGATATATAAATTTATAGATAATTCAGTGAGATGCATAGAGATTTTTCAAAAATATATACGTGGTATGACTTATATCTTTTCATCAAGGTTGATATAAATAATTTTTTATTTATTTTATTGCTTCCCTAGTTGGGTGAGGAAATGTTCACAGGTTCACTACACCATTTTTATGTTTTTATATACTTACACATAATATATCCTTATTCATATGACTTATATCTTTTTTTTGTGATATTTTTAGCTTTAGTTTGTATCTATGGTAATGACTTTATACATTTGCACGGATAATGTTGGATGAAATAATAAACCTATAATTATTTAACCTATTTGTGTGAGTATAAATATTTTAAAAACAGTAAGACGAGTTGATGAAAGACTATAATTTAATTAGGGCTTAATTGAAAAAAACTGTTTAGAGTATTTTGGGGTTAAACATTTGGTCATTAATTTCTTTCTTAGGTATCTACATTAATTAGTTTTTTAATTTTTTCCTATTAGATGTTTTATACCGCAAGTTCGATGAATTTTTATTGATTCTCAACATGTATTTGTTTTGCTATTCCTCTTTACGTGGATTTGTAACTGCTATTTTAAATTAGAAAGAGCTCTTTGACATATTGTCAATTGTAGAACCTCAGACTAATTCCTCCAAAATAATTCAGAACCTTGCACACTTAGCTTTAAATATAATTCTGTGATTTTCATCAAGTAAAAATAACAACATGGAGTCTAACGGGCAAGAGCTTCAAATATTTCATCAAGGCAAAGAGGGTGTTGTATTTGACATTTGGATTGATGGACTTATATGCACTTTTGAGTTTGTTAGAGGATCCAATCGTATGTCTAATAGCCACTAGGGTTCTATTGGTTGAACAAGGATTTCAGAACTAACGAAGATTGACGAAGATTATGCTAAATGGTCTTCGCAACAAATGGATTTGATAGAGGATGAAGCTGATATCACCGTTTATGGTGTTATTGCTCGACCTATATGACAGTGACGTATTTGCGGGGTATTTCTCTATTTATGCATGATTCAGTAATGTTTATTGGCTACATCCAACTATTAGTATTTTTTTGAGAGATGAAAGCAGACATTGTAGTGATTGTATGAAACACTTTGGGTTTGAGGTGAGTTCTAATGTTTGATCTCTTTTCATGTTAATGTCACATTTTATATTTTATTGACTTGTTTCTTAAAAATGCTGTTACATCCCATAATTGTAGGGCTTAATATGTTTAATAAATATGAGCTTTTTGGATTTTAAAATGAATTGTGAACATTGTTAATCATGATATTTTAGCTGTGAAATAAATATTTTTCTAGTGATATTGTCATTTTACTAGTGATATTGTCATTTTATTCTAGTGATATTGTCATTTTATCAATTTGAGAGGTAGGGTAGTGCAAATACTTCTTTTTTTGTGTTGAGAGATAGCCTTAGATTGTGTATAATTCACATATGAATTAACATTTCACATATGAATTAACTTTGTTCAATTTGAATATTTTAACATTTATATATATATATATATATATATGTATATGTACATATACATATATATATATATATATATATATAAAAATATATAAATATAAAAAAAATAAAACA